GCCGGGCCTACTTGCAGGGGCGGGCCTGGAGCGGGAGCTCCACCTGCCTCTATGTCAATCCAGCCCTGTACCTAGCCAGAACACAGGCAGCAATAAAAATCTAAAAGGGGTTCTAATTCTTTCCTACCCTATCCAAAACATTGGCTATACAAACACTTAATAAGAAGTAATTAGTACAGAAATAAGACCACATAACGACCTGATCAGTGGCCACTTTCAGACATAACTATTTATATAACTATTTCAGACCTAAGACATAACTAATTATAGCATCATTGAATATACTGCATGTAATTCTGCTGATAAATCTTTACCTTCCTTACATACAATTACTCTAAAAACATAGCACTTTTGCTGTACCTGTCATCGTGTCTTTTCTAGATGTGTGTTCTCCTTTGTATGTGGCATTTGACCCAGTTGTTTCAAAGTCTGCTTTCTTTTCTTTCAGGCTGATCATTTCCCGGGGTGATGCAGGAGCGCTTGCTTTAAAAAAAATTAAATTTGAAAAACAAAAAATAGATATTTTCATCAGAATAAATGTTTTACATTTGTGTTTTCACACAACATAAGGCCTGGTTCACACCTAGGCGTATTGCATATGCGAGTCTGTCGCGCGTTTTTTACTGCGATTCGCGGTAAAAAAACTGCGATTTTACTGCGAATCGTGCGACAAACGCGTGTTTCTGAGGGCTATTTGGCTGTATCCCAATGGAAACGCGCAACAAAAACGGCCCAAAGTAGTACATGTACCTTTTCAGGCGTGGGCCGTTTTGTAGCGCGTTAGGGACGGGCTGAAATACGCCAAGGTGTGAACCAGACCCATTGAATACAATGGGATTTAGATGTTTGAGCGTTTTGTAGAGCGTTCGTTGAGCGTAGAACGCGCTACAAAACGTTCAGGTGTGAACAAGGGCTAAAGGTTGCTAAACATGAGTGCTCAAAGCAGTTCATGGAGAACAAAAGGGGCTCTCACACATATTTTAGAGAACTATTGCATGTACACACAAAATACATGTGCTACTAGAATGCAGGCATGGTTTCTGGAGGGACTTAAGCAGGAGCCATTTTGCTAGAACCCACTGGCCATCCTGAACGAGGGAAGTTAAGGGGCACATGAGGGTAAGAGAAGCTGCCACAATAGGAGGTTTAAATCGGACAGCTTAGATGCCCATTTCATAGGTTCATGTTGCTTCGTTGCATGGCAGGCTTTGTTTATTTCTGCCCACTGCCCAATGTAAACATTGCATCTGAGAGTTTTTGTTTTGTTTTTTTCAATTGTCAGCCGAAGCTGGAATGACTTCGTAGGACACTTTTTAAAATGTATTTTAAATAAAGGAATTGTCAAAAATGTGTGTTTTGTTCAATTAAAGGAATTTTTGTTAAGGTGTGGTGTGTTTATTTACATTTTATTTAACCCTTTAGTGAATGAGTATGGGGACATTTTGTATTACAATTTTTAAACAAAAATCTCATCATTGACATTCTCTCTCAGTTTTGTCTGTCAGCTTAAAAGTTTTGCGTAACTTCCTCTTTTCTTTGTCACAAGTTAAGTCTTGTGAGATGGTCAAGTAACCACTTCCTTAAAAATGAATGTGCAGATCTAAAATATAGGTAACAAATGACGTAATGTGTGGGAGTGGCTTTGTGGTTAAAGACAATTGACTCTTTCATCGCTGTGATAAATAGTAGAATATTATTGGATGATTTGTATCTCTGTGCCTGCCCAGTGTGGGATGTCAATTATGCTGGATTCATTTTAAAATCTCATGTAACCTATTGCAACTGTGCAGAATGTTTTAGCTTGGCATGCTGCCCAATAGCTATTGAATAAATTATAATATAGAAGCACACAAATCTCTGTTCCTGGTAATATGAGTTCTGGTATTTCTGCCAGGACAGTTGATGGTGACCCCGACGTGATGAAAAGACAGGCCAAATCTTCAGCTGACCAGTGACCCGGGTGTGGAGAGACAGGGATCAATCTGACCAGGTACCATGGTAAGAGTTACTTACCTTTTGTTCATTTTCATCACTGTCTTTCTACACCTATTCTGGTCATCTGGAATTGTAAGTTCGATTAATAGATTTGTGTCATATTATAATTTTTTTATATCTACCAATTTGTCTGAAAGACCAGCAGTGTGATTAATATCTCACTGTGTGTGTGTGTGTGTGTGTGTGTGTGTGTGTACATCATGCTCTATTGCAGGGTGTGATATTGAACAATGATGATCTGATGATGAATGTTGCTCCAGGAGCAACATTTAAGAAGACCAGTTGACCTCTGTTTGAGGCTCAGTCAAGACGCCTATTCCCTCTGGAGGAAAATGCACCTGTGGGCTGAGCCACCCAGAAAGATCTTGTTATGAATGTACTATCCGTCACAGTAAATTACTAACAGAAATAGTGATTTTATGTAGTAAATGTGACGTCACTGATAGTTGTTATTTTCTGCTCCTTTGGTTGGGCTGATGCAACCAGTTATCGATTCAGTTGCAATAATTTACCTCATTATCATTGCTTTAGGGAAAGTAGGAGTAGGTTATCTGCTCTGTGTGGTTTGCCAGAAATCTGAATACCGGGTGGAGTCCACAAAGAAATTGCATTGGAGGACAATTCTGTATGGTGGCTAGCGTACAGTTATGTAAAGGGGACCTTTAAGCGGTTAACCCTGCGATTGTATCCACATAGGGGAACAGGAGAGGGATCTGTTCAGCCAGTCGTGGCCAGAGATTAGCTACTTCTGGGGACAGACGCTGGTGTGTCTGGAACGGATCAAAAGAAAAGAGCCCTAAGCATGTCATTATGGGCAGCTAAGAGAAAATTGAATCAGGGGGTGGGCCCTGTAATTTGACCCCTAAGGAAGAGATGATAGACAAATATGGAAATTGGGTGATCCGGAATATGGTCAACTAGGATAAGTGGACTGGGAACAATTATTACAGGAAAGGGATTTTTGAGCCTAAAAGCTTGGGAGCATCTCTAGGAGAATCTAAATGAAAGAAATGCTTGGGCCTCATGGGCTCGGGAGGCCTGGCAGCGATATTCAGATGTGCATGTATTTACTTTAGACACAGAAAAGACCAAGAACATGAAACTTCAGGTGAGATATTAAAACCACAGAAAGATGGCAATGATGGTGAGAGTAAACAGGAAGAAGACAAAGTTTTGGAAAAGAGTGCGTATGATGCCGCCCGGTTCATTAATGGAGAAATATTTAAAGTTAGTGTCAAATCAGGGTACATCAGCTGCAGCTGCCAACCACAGAACAGAGTCACAATGTTCTCAGAAACTAGATGAATTACAGCAGAGAATGGAGAAGGAGATAGATGATTTTGGTAATCAGATCAGTTGGGGAAAATTCCTTCAGGACCTATAAAAGATCAACCCCCTGCTTTTAATTATAATGAAGTGGCTTTTGTGCCCACACCCTCAGCCTCTATGCCTACCCTAACACCATACGGTAGTTCCATTTTAGGAGTTTCTCCACAGATCCCTGTAAGACAGCCAATAGTAAATTCCACACAGGCAGTTACACATAATTTATCTCCAAACATAGGGATCCCATGATAGCACCCACATTTTAGAATTGTGAAGCATTGTCTTTAGTTTAGGCAAGCATGCCTGTCTATCCTGTAAGGGAACAGGTAGTGTATAATAATAAAAAAATGCACACAATGTGGAACCCTTCTGAGAGGAAATTATTTGTTAAAACTAGATTCCTCATTCCATAACAGATCCTATGAATTTTGCTAAAGAAATACTAGATATCCAAGCATGTTACAATGTTAACTGGAGCATTATGATACAGATAGTTAAGAGTCTGTGGAGACAGAGACTTTGATGAGGTTGTCACCAAGGCACACAATGAAGATTGCATGGCTTATTATAAAGATTTAAATGGGCTGTGGAGGCTGCTGGTGGGACATTGAAAGGAAAGATCAGGGAGAAATTAATGACAGCTAATCTAGATTGTGGATACAAGCTTCTCTGCTCTCTGCTGTCACTTGCCACTGCTACTGAAAGAAACATAGCAGACTGTGAAGGACAGAAACCACAAAAAAAGAGATTTCACAGTAAGAAAGAAACAATGGCAGCTGCTTCAGGCCGAGAAAGGAAATAGTCTGTTTAAATTGTGGTAAGAAAGATCATATAAGGAGAATTTGCCGAGGATCAGTGCGAGATAAGCAACAACAATCAAAGGTGAAATTTGGAGACAGTATCACAGTAAAATAACGCATCTCAAGAAAAGGAGAACACAAAGTAACAGAGAGGGTCTGATAGAGATATATGTGCACAAGAATTTAGATAAGAGTAGTATAGGACATGTGTAAGGCAATTGTCTATGTTTGAATATAGAGTGAATAAGTTTCCAACTGGCTAGTGTCCGAGATGTTTGAACTATGCAAAGAGTTGTTGAAAATTGTAGATTTTATATGATCTAAGCTAAGAATGTGATAATGCTATTTGTTTTTTTTGTGTCAGTCGAATACTTAACAGAAACTAACAGAGTATCAGCTTGTTTATGTTGTGTTGCTTATTGTCACTTGTCACTATCATTCTTTTATGTGTGCCACAAAATAAATATGGATCGAGTCTGATTAAAGCACCACAGTCTATTGTAGAATTATATATAGAGATGTTCTTGCTTCTGTAATTGTGGCACCTTAGCTTACACATTAGTGGGATGCCCTGAAGTTTATGATTTGGGTAACTGTTAGATTTTAATTGTGACATCTATGCAAGTTAATTTGCACATTTTAACTTGGGGAACTTTATAAAGGTTGTGCCTAAGACACTGCAGACTATTTAATTGTCCTGTATGCTCTCTTAGTGAGTTTGAATTGAAATATGAGAAGTGGAAACGTAACCACGATTTAGGAAGCAAAGATATATATAGATATATACCTATATATATATATATACATACATACATACAGTATATTAAATATTTAAAATCGCTACTTTTTATTACATGAATAACATGTTATTGTTTTTCTAGAAAAAGATACTTCTAAGGATATTTGATTCTAATCAATGTGGTGATGTATAATTCCTAAGAACAAATGTTACAGTGTATTATAAATATATTACATTTCTAATTCAACCATGGTGAATAAATGATAATCTTTGTCTGTGAGAGAGGAATATAGAAACTCCACGTGGTATTAATAATATGAGTATATTAGAATTTGGTACCAACAAAAGTGCACTTATACATTAACCATAAAGACCTAAAAGTTTAAAGAGTTTGTATTGTATAAGTAATATTTAATTGATGACTATTGTTGTCTCAGCAAGACCACCAAATTGTATTTGTTTTTTTTGGGGGGGGGATTGTACTAAAATTGTATCAATGTTGTTGTCTGATTATTTTCTACTGTTTTTTAGGGCTAAATAAGATTACAACAATTATATATTATTTATTTTGTTTTTAGGGAAGGGGGAAATACTAGGACAACTAGTGGAAAGTTCATTAGGTA